TTTGACGGGGATTGAAAAGTTACAAGTGTCGAGGAAAATGCATTTAAAAACACTCCGAAACTTGAATCAATCAATTTGTACGCACAACTTACTTCTTTACAAGACACTCTTCCTTCACAAAAGAATTTGTTTTTCCATGGGAACGAACAACCAAAAACTTTGGCAAAAATAAATCAAGGGCTGAAAATTTTCGTCACTAATAATTACATTAATAGTAAGTTTGGAAATGTTGAAATCACAAAACTGAATTGCACATCACTTCAGTTTATTGACCTTAATGCTCAACAACTAATGTGCAAAGACTGTGATGAAAAGAAGGCGACTTTGGATGGAGACAACTACATGTGTGACATCGACATGACTCACTGTCTCGCAACGCACGAGAAGTGTCAGATCTGTATTGGTGAAAAGTGCAAGAAGTGTGAAGAAAAACTTTTAGTAGACACTGTGAAGGATGTGTGTGTGACCGAGTGTCCAGATGGTTACTATGATGGTTCTATAATCTGTGAAAAATGTAAAGCACATTATGACAGGCCTTGTGAAGATGATGAGTGCAGAAAGTGCACTGGTGGTGTTGTTGGTATTTTGGTAGCATGTCTTGCTGTTGCTCTTTTCTTCGTGTTTTAACAATTATGATGGTTTTCTTTTTGATTTTATTTTTGATTAAATATACCATTTTTACTAATAATTGATCATAACATAAAAATTGATAAAAACCAAGAAACGTTTGTAAATAAAATAATGTTAACTATAACAAATTATTTAAAAATATAATATTTAACTTTTTTTTTGAAACTTATTTTACCCCACAAACACACTTTTGAAAACTTACATCTCAATTTTTTGACGAAACTATTGTTTAATACTATTATTTACAATAGTTTTAATACTATTATTTAAATTTTTACCATTTATTATATAAAAACAGTTTTATTTTTTTTATATAATTTCATAATAGTATAGTGTATAATATATTTAACTATTTATCTGAATCAATCTGAAAATTTTAACTCTTGAAATAGTTTCAAGTAAAGATAAATAATGTGAGGCGAACTACAAAAGATATCTCTATTAAGATCCACACCTCTAGATCCAAAAAGCGAGTTGAACTATTTAAACTGCTAGTTACTATAATATTTCATTCAAATGGGAGAAGAAGGAGAAGTACAAGCACTTGTCGTTGATAACGGATCTGGTATGTGCAAGGCCGGTTTTGCTGGTGATGACGCACCACGAGCTGTCTTCCCATCAATTGTTGGCAGACCAAAACAAGTCTCAGTCATGGCTGGTATGGGCAACAAGGACACCTATGTCGGAGATGAAGCCCAATCAAAGAGAGGTATCTTGACCCTCAAGTACCCAATTGAGCACGGTATCGTCAACAACTGGGACGATATGGAGAAGATCTGGCACCACACTTTCTACAACGAGCTCAGAATTGCCCCAGAAGAGCACCCAGTCCTCTTGACTGAAGCCCCAATGAACCCAAAGGCTAACAGAGAAAAGATGACACAAATCATGTTCGAGACTTTCAACGTCCCAGCCATGTACGTTGGAATTCAGGCTGTCCTTTCATTGTATGCCTCTGGTAGAACCACTGGTATTGTTATGGATTCTGGTGACGGTGTCTCTCACTGCGTCCCAATCTATGAAGGGTTCTCACTCCCACACGCCATCCTCAGAATTGATCTTGCTGGTCGTGATCTCACTGACTACCTCATGAAGATCTTGACTGAGAGAGGATATGCTTTCACCACAACTGCTGAAAGAGAAATTGTCAGAGACATCAAGGAGAAGCTCTGCTACGTTGCTCTTGACTTCAACGAAGAAATGCAAAAGGCTGCTTCATCATCAGAACTCGAGAAATCATACGAACTTCCAGATGGTCAAGTCATTACCATCGGAAACGAGAGATTCAGATGCCCAGAAGCTCTCTTCCAGCCATCATTCCTTGGTATGGAAGCCTCAGGTATCCACGAGACCACTTACAACTCAATCATGAAGTGTGATGTCGATATCAGAAAGGACTTGTACGGAAACATCGTCTG